GACTGCCTCCTACTTAGTTGTTAACCTGGCTTCTCACCCGGTAGTAAAGCTATTTGGCTCAAGCCTTGTAACAGCTAAGACAGCTCCGGGACAGGGTGCTGTGTCCCTTGGACTTACGGACTTACGCACTACTTTCCATTGTATTTGGAGACAAAGGAACTCACCCTTACAAAAGTTTCTTGCTGCATGCTCTGATGGGATCCCTGGAAAGTTCAGCTGGGGGGAGGGTGTTCCCAGGTGAAATGAGTTGACAACTGAAGCTCGACCCAGCTTCTGTGTTACTACATACATCCAGTTATCATTTAGAATTCTAGTTTCATTTGGCTCCAATGTCAAAAGGCTACCTTAATGATATTATATATACATATATATATAATATCCTAAATCCTTGATGTGGACATAATTCCTCTCATTTATTTTTAGATAATAAAAATGCTTATTTAAAGCAGTTATTTCTTTTCTTTGATTAATGTATCCTTCATAATATTCATTACCTTTGTATCAAGCTCAGGAAGCAATTCATAACTTGCCTGTGTTCTGCAAGCCCCATTATGCCTCGTTACACAGCTGGGTGATGAATTAAAACCATCACAGACCTGAAGTTTCAGACTAGTTATTGGAATATCTGCTTACATGATTCTCTACTTTGATTCTCCTGCCTACCTGATTACCCCCACTAACTTCTGTCTCCACTTTCTAAATAGCAGCACAGCTTGTTTTATGCATTTTGCTTTATTGCACTTTGCAGATACTGCGTTTTTTTACAAATTGCAGGTTTGTGGCAACCCTGAATCGAGCAAATCTAATTGGTGTCATTTTTCCAACAGCATTTGCTCACTTCATGTTTCCGTGTCACATTTTGGTAATTCTTGCAGTAGTTCAAATGTTTTCATTATTGTTGTATTTGCTACAGTGATCTGTGGTCAGTGATCGCTGATGTTACTATTGTATAATTCTTTTGAGGCGCCACAAACTGTGCCCATGACCTGAGCTTAACCAATAAATGTGTGGTGTGTGTTCTAGCGATTCCACCGAATGGCCATTTCCCCATCTCTCTCCTTCTCCTCAGGCCTCCTGATTCCCTAAGACACAGTAATATTGAAATCAGGGCAATTAAGAACCCTACGTGTTCAAAAGAAAGAAGAGTCGCATGTCTCTCACTTTAAGTCAAAAGCTAGAAATGATTAAAGCTTAGTGAGGAAGGTGTGTCAAAAGCCAAAAGCCAAGACAGGCCGAAAGCTAGGCCTCTTGCACCAGGTAGCCAAGCTGTGAATGTAAAGCAAAAGTTCTTGAAGGACTACCACAGTTAACAACACAAATGATAAGAAAGCAAAACAGCCTTATTGCCGATATGGAGAAAGTTTTGAGTGTTCTGGAAAGATCAAACCTGCCACAATATTCCCTTAAGGCAAAGCCTAGTCCAGAGCAAGGCCCTGACTCTTCAATTCAATGAAGTCTGGGAGAGGTGAGGAAGCTTCAGAGGACAAGTTTGAAGCCAGAAAAGGAGAGTTCATGAGGTTTAAGGGAAAGGGAAGAAGCCGTCTCCCTAACATCAAACTGCAAAGTGAAGCAGCAAGTGCTGATGTAGAAGCTGCAAATTATCCAGAAGATCGAGCTAAGATAATGAATGGAGGTGGCTACACGAAACAACAAAATTTGAATGTAGGCAAAACAGCCTTATGTTGGAAGATTCCATCTGGGACTTTCATAGCTGGAGAAAAGTCCGTGCCTGGCTTCCAAGCTTCAAAGGACAGGGTGACTCTCATTAGGGGCCAGTGCAGATGGTCACTTTAAGTTGAAGCCAGTGCTCATGTACCATTCCAAAATCCTAGGGCCCTTAAGAATTATGCTGAGGGGCGCCTGGGTGGCTCAGTTGGTTAAGCGACTGCCTTCGGCTCAGGTCATGATCTTGGAGTCACGGGATCGAGTCCCACATCGGGCT